TTGGCCATCTTTGCTTGCAGTTATTGCACAGGGGACTGTTTGTGTTCGTTCCTTTTCCTTTCAGGCTTTTCAAATTTGGTTCATGAGGCAGTGATAAGAAGAGAGTTTGGCGCCGTGGTCTCGAAACGCAGCAATTGCTTGGCTCTTGTGCAAAACAGGTACAAGATGTACGTGTATGCATCAAGAAATGAAAGTTTTTCTATGAAATGTCTATTTCATAGAATTTCTTTATTGTCTTCTTAATACTTTCGATGAGTCTCGCTCTCTCTCTAACGCACACACACACACACACACACGCACGCACGCACGCGCACACACAACACCCACACACACACACACCACACACAAACAATATATATTCAGCAGGAAGTTTAGAGAGTGGGTATGTATAGAAAACACAAGCGAGTACACGTACCAGAGAGCAATACTTTTATGCCTAACGTTTCAGCCGTGACGTGGCCTTCGTCAGAGAATGAAGAGTAGACAAGCATATGCATCATGTATTGCTCTCTCGTATGTGTACTCGCGTGTGTGTGTGTGTGTGTGTGTGGTGTGTGTGTGTGTGTGTGTGTGTGTGTATATATATTGTGGGCATTTAGTATACGCATCCTCTTTGCCGGCACACTATCATCATTATCATGTGTGGCTTATGCATCCTCATCGTTGTCGCGTAGCATCATCATCTTGGCTCATTCATGATAGCTGTCGGCTGCCGGTTCCTCGGGCCTAATAAAAGGTAATCCAAACCAAGACTTCATACGTGGTGGAGGTGCTGTTAGATCCCCCGCCATCCTCTCGACCACTCTACCCCCTGGAGCTACGTTCAGGTCGCCGCTTGGGCCAGGTGTCCGGAAATATGTCGCACCAAGATGAGGCCGGTGCTGCAGCCGTTCCCACTCCACCAGTGCATGCCACGCCTTCTCACGTCATCAACAGCCTCCAGCGTGAGCCCCATCCCTTCGCTGGTATGCGCGGGGAAGATGTGGAGGAATGGCTTGACGATTTCGAACGTGTCGGCGCTGCTATCCGGTGGGATAACACCTACAAACTCGCTCACGTGTCATTCTACCTCACGGGTATTCATCACGGGATGGCTCATTCATCGTAGCTGTCGGCTGCCGGTTCTTCGGGCCTAATAAAAGGTGATCCAAACCAAGACTTCATATATAGATAGAGAGAGAGAGAGAAATGTGAAAGAGTATGTCGAGCGCTATGCTTCCCCTCCGGTACAGTTAAACCCCTTTATAAGAGGCATGCTCCGGGCAGCAATTCTTGCCTTTCATACCATAAGACGTCTCTAATAAGTAGGGCACATCGTAAGCATTTTCTTATCAAATTGTATTTTATTGTATGCACACTGTCGTCCCTTATATCAGTGTCTCTTATGAAAGGGTTCGACTGTACAAACGCCTATGACTGTTACGACTACTGCTACTATATTAGTACTGTATTTACTCGATTCTACCGCGCCCTAGATTGTAAGGCGCACCCGATTTCCACAGCGAAAAAAAAAAAAACGTAAGACATTGATTGCAACGCGCACCCATTTTTCTCGTTGGCCCGCACGATCACACCACTCGAAAAAACGACTCTTTTCGGGAGCGTCTTCCATTTAAATATGAGGTACGGGCGAAGCTTGTGCCATCTGACGTGTAACAGAGCATTGCCGTCACTGTAGTTTTACCGTGTCAGCACGCGAACTTGCTTCGCCCCCTTCTTCTCGACGGTTGTGGTGCCAGGCATGTCGAAGTAAAGAGGCGTCTGATCGGCATTCCCGATTTGCCCAATCGTACTCATCCACAAAACTTTTCGCATATGAATGTTTCCCCTTTTGAGGGAAAAAGCATCTTTCTCTTCATAAAGTTCGTAGCAGCACCTTGTCGCTTTAAACTGGCTCGCATTAGACCATTTTCTAAGTATATTGCAAGCCGCACTTGGAGCAGTTCGTCGTGCCGGGCCGCGTGCCGCTCGATGCTCAAGCAATACTCGCCGAGCAGCTCTTTAATTTGCGAAACCGACCCTGCTGTGGTCCACTGAAGCCTTTGCGTGAAGCTTTGCTGTCGACAATCTTTTGCTTTTGTTTTTGCCGGTCCCGCACGCACGTTTCGGGAATTCGAAACGACCGCGATGCAGCCCGATTTTCGTTCGTTCTGCAAACGCGATGACTTTTCTTTTAAAAGCAGCATCGTGGTGCACTCGAGTTTTTTGGAGTCAGCCCTTCCATGTCGTTGATGCTAATGCACTACTAGATTGACGAACTCCTCAGCACACGTACGAAGTGCCGCACATGGGAAACACATAGGCAGAAATGGCCGATGCGCCATGCCGACTGCACGTAGGGGGCGGCCATTTGGATTTGCCAATGGCAATAGATTGACCGTAATTTTTTTGCTCGTACTCGATTCTAACGCGCATGCGATTTATGAACTCGCTTAACCGGAAAAAAGGTGCGCGTTAGATTCGAGTAATAACGGTATTACTGTCACTATCCCCATTGCAAATGTCTGCCTGACTGGGCTACAATATGCAAGGAACCCAGAGCACTAGAAAGCCATACATAATAGAGTGTCGTTACACCATTAGGATGCCAAATAATAGAACAAAAAAAAATTAACAGATCCCACGTACAGTGAGAATCCATAATAGGCGAAGCACGAATGAAAAATGTTCATATGTCACTTTAAAATCAGCACAACGTTATGAGGTGGAGGTAAATGATGACGAACATGGCTTCCGTGTCATGATTATCATGTTTGAATGTGTCGTTTACCTTGGTCATCTATTCACTTCACGTGATACCAAATTTATGCATGTGGAGCTAGCGAAACGGCCACGAGCACCCTATGACCGTGGTATGTTGTCGTGTTCTTACATGACAGGCGCGTCAGGATTATCACGCTTGCACCAGTCATACAATTTGTCATTTATTGACGTCACGTAACACTAAATTTGGTATATGTGGAGCTAGCGAAACGGCTGCGAGCGCACTATGAAGGGCTAATATACTTCAATGTAGCGTTGACGCGTGCGCACGCTGAGCAGAGCGACGCTACGTTAGCAAAATGCAAGCAACTCTATAGTTTGACACCAGGCGCGACCAGCGTCCATTGGCGCGACCCAACGGCAACCGGTGCGAATGCAACATGCTGCATTTCGCACTGATGCTTTACCCAGACAACACTGCATCTCCCTCCTTTCGTGACGGAGGGATGCTGGACGCGCTCAAACGCAACGCTGTGCAATGCGCGCTTGCAAGAAGGACAGGACCGGTGCCAGGCGTGGCAATTTCTGCGCGACGCGACCAAATGAACGCTGGCAAGCACGTGCACCACGTGACGTCGAAATGTATTGGCGCCTGGACTGTGGCATGCAGTCATGTTCTTACATGACAAGCATTTCACGATTGTCATGTTTGCACTAGTCACACATCTTCGTCATCAAATTGGCGTCACGTAATACTAAATTTGATATATGTGAAGCTAGCGAAACGGCCGTGAACTCATCATCAGTGTGGCATGTAGTTATGTTGTTACATGACACGGGCGTCGTGATTATCATGTTTGGATGTGTCATTTACCTATGTCGTGTGTTCGCGTAATACCGAGTTTGGCACATGTGAAGCTAGCGAAATGAACACGAGTGCATCCTGAGCATGCCATGTAGTCATGTTGTTACATGACACGTATCTCATGTTTAGCACGATCACCAGTATCATACCTACGTGATCCATTCATGTTTTGTAATACCTAATTTGGTATAAGTGAAACTAGCAAAACGGCTGCCAGCGCATCATGAGCGTGGCATGCAGTCATGTTGTTACATGACACGCATCTCATGATTATCATGTTTGCACCCGTCACATACCTTCGTCATCCATTCACGTACTGTAACACCAAACATGGTAAATGTGATGCTAGCGAAACGGCCGCGAGCGCATCATGAGGAGGCATGTAGTGATGTTGTTACATGGCACGCATGTCATGATTTTCATGTTAGGGTCTGTCGCTTGTGTTCGCCATGCAATCATGCCATACCATACCAGTTTTGCAACATGCCAGGTGAACGAAACCACTGCAAAAGCTGCAGGACCATGAAATATAAATCATGACATTCATGACATACACGTCATCATTTCATGTTATTAGTAGTCAAATATGTTTTTCATAGAGTCATGTTATGCCATACCAATTTTGCTATCGATACCATTATCGAAATGGCCAGGAGAGTTAAAAATCGCAGGTGGCTAAATAGTTAGATAGATACGCTCAAAGTCACCGAAGTTCGCTAAAGAATGCTTCGCATTTAAAGAAGAATTGTTCTTCTATGAAATTCTTAGCTCGGTACCCAGTCACATTCACAAGGGTTGACTTTTCATTGCTTATCCCACTTGCTCCATAAATCTGCTTTTCCTTTTTAGTGCTGCTGTTATTGCTGCACACTCTCACTGTAAGCGCTACTCCATAGAGATGAACAGTGCAAGCAACAGGACAAGAAAGAACCGACAGGATGAAAGTTCTTTTATTGCTGTGCCATGAAGCTAAAAAGAATAAGTTCTAATCTCTTTAACAGAAAACAGTTGTATCTACTGCTGGCATAGCTCCTAGTTCTGCTTATGATAAGTATATTAGGGCTTTTTTTTTTTTCTGCCGAGTTTTTTGTAGAACTTTCCAGCCGCTTGTCGCGCTTTTTGCTTATTTACATTTTCCCAGCCAATAAAGTAATTTTTACTGATCCTCATGTTCTCAATAACACATTTGTCAATGACTGATTAGTGCACCAGTGAAGTCACACATTTGTAGGTAGAATCAACAAGTGACATGAATCACACACAGTCAAATGTGCATTTATTCCAAAGGAGATTACCTAGGAGGCGATGAATGAGCGCTTTATTTGCCAGCTGCACATATTTTTGCTATGCAAAATAATTAGTAAAATAATTAGCAGAAATCTGTAGGTCATGAAAGCTTTGCTTAAAGTGAGAGACACTTCTGAGGACATACCTCTAGCAGCGACGCCATACACACGCTGCAGGTGTTCCCCAAGGGCCAGCACAAGGTCGCCCAGGTCACGGCCCGCTCGAGGGCCTCGTGCACCCGCCCAGTAGCAGAGCACCCGGCGCCGCTCACGGTCCGCCACGCACACCACGTTCATGGTGGGCACGTAGGCTAGACCGTGTGGCACCAGCATGCGCTCTGGTGACATCAGGGGCAAAGAAGACCCCAATGCACTGACGTGAAACACACACTAGCAGCACATATGAAAAGGATATATTGAGACACGCATACTAAAGGAAAAAAATTGGCAGATCTAGCATACCTAGGGAATCAATGTTATGCGAAACATGGGCATGCAAGCTGACTGTATTGTAGTTTTTTTATTGAGCGAAACGTTGCGAAGTGGGGCTAAAGACATGTAAAATTGTGCACACAGATATACATTAAACAGCTGAAAATGTTTTATATAACCAGTTATTTACAGTTGCATAACGATGCTAACAGTAACATCGATATTAGCCCCAGAACAAGTAAGCTGATATGAAGCACTGGTGCTCGTGAGGATGGTAGCTCTAGACACAGCTACATAAATCAACTTCAGGGGATGGTGCCTAACTACAATTGATGTTAACCCGACGTGATGGCTGCATCAAAGGAGTACATAGGTAATGTTTGTAAAATTGGATAGCCAGTACCGCAACCACAATTCACGTTTCACGAACATTAGGGTCTCTTAGCAAAGTATGTCTGAGACCTGGCATGGCTCTGTGGTAGAATGCTTGATTGTTTAGCAAAATTCTTGGGTTCGATTCCTTCCTACATCCAGACATTTTCTCTTTGCATTCGTCGGGTCAATGCTGACAAAGTCAAATTTTTCTTAAAATTTACGCGTTAAAATTGCCCATGAGTGTTCTTGCCGTTTCTGGGTAGATACAAACTGTCCACCACCTGTGGCACATACCTGCCCGTGGATATGTTCCACACGTCTGGCGGAAAGGTTGTGATGACATGAGCTACAGTATTGAGACATTATTTATATGATGACCACCGAATCATATTTGTCAAACCATGTTACCCCCCTTAACCATACTAATTTTGCTTTAGCCCAAGTTAAGGGGATAATCATGGGAGCACCCAGACATAGGCGGCTAGACAGACGGATAGGCACTCAAAGGGCTCGCAGTACACAGAAAAATGCTTCGAATTTACAACTCGCAGGGTCACAGGGTATGCATTTGTCCAAAACAACACGAAGGCTAAGGCCCCCATCTTTTTAATTTTCAAGTCGAAGTACCAAACCTACCCCACCCCATGATAAGTGGATGGATAACGGAGGCAATGCAAAGAGACAGTGTCACATTGCAGTTCCATCATGTGACATCACAATCTATGATGTCATCATGACATCACAATTTTTGTGTGTGTTCATCGTGACGTGATCATGATGTCTTTTTGCATCACTCCTTTCGATAGTGCCGACACGGGATGTTGATAGTCAGTTTAATTTTTGATAAAGAAACTAAGGCTTTTGCTTTAAAAGAACACTGTACAATGCAGTTGAACCTATCAATAACGAAATCACTGGGGAAGAGATCTTTGCTTGTTATTGTGAGAATTTCGTCACAAAAGTAGAAACATAAGCACAATAATTACTTCACCCAACAAAAATTTATTTTAAGAAGTCACTGATCTTGTGCTGCCTGTTGATTTGAAAATAGTAGAAAGCGAGCTGCACAGGTTGCTGAAATACCCTGCAATGTCTACCCTTTTCTGCGATTCGCAGCTGCAGTGTTGGTATTAGAAGAAGCCGGGTTGCTTCACTCTAGTGGTGCGAAGACTGAGGTACCAGCCGAGCTGGTGGTGTCCCTATCCTTTTCAGCCTCATGTCCATATTCCTTTATAACGCTTTCGTTATTTATTTCCATGCTTCCTTCTTAATCTTCAATTTCCTTCTCTCTACCTTTACATTTCTCATTTGTTCTTTTTACCAATTTTCTGTCTTTGATTCTCTTTTTCTTTCTGCCTTTCATTTTGTCAGTTCATTTGGTACTTTATATGGTGTCCCTTATTCTCTTCTCACCCTCAAATCAGCCCTCTTCTACCTCACTCTCCTTTTCCACCCCCTATGCTATTCTATACTATGCAAGGCTACACTGTGCTCTGGTAGCTGCTTGTGTTCACAAGGTGTGTACCTATATGGGTTCGAATCCCACCCCGCGAACGAAATTTCCCCCTAGAAGCTCTCTCTTTCTCTATCTTTGGTTCTCTCTCACCCCGTACTTGTTGTCTCACTTCTAGAGTTAATGCATCCCGTGCCAGAGAAATCGGTGCTTGTTTTTTGGGAGCGAAGCAGAAGGTGAAAATGAAGATGATGACTAAGTTGAAAAAGAGGAAGTAGAGAGCATGTGCCGATCCTTTGTGATGTTTTTATGGTGAGATCGCACAAACTACCGTGTAAAACAGCTTTGCTGTTAAAACAGCATTGCCTCAAATGATCACAAAACGTTCAGTTATGTTCCGAAAGATCCAGTTTTTACAATACTTATACCTTATAAAGATAGGGAGTCAAGTTCAAGTACAAGAGTGTGAGGCTACCTTGGAGCCCTATGTCGGCCAGGTGGTTTCCATCTCGGTTGAATACGGCAATGCGGTGGTTGCAGTAGCCGTCGCTGACAAAGATACGTCCAGACGGGCCCAATGCAACGCCTGTCGGCTTGCAGAAGTGGTTTCGACCGCTGCCCGGTTCAAAAGCATGACCCAATGCCAGTGGAGGTCCTGAAGAACCGAACCTGAAAACCTGTGCATTCAAAATGAAAGCGTTTCATTCAAGGCAGGGCTCCTTGTCTTACTGAAGATAATGTTTCAAGACAGTCGTTGTGCATACCAGAACACCACTAAATGTATATTACTAGAAGCTTGTCATAATTGTAAAGCTAGCTTTTCTGCAATGCAGTTAGCCCATCTAATGGCAGCTAGTCACTTCCTCAAAAAGCATCTTCAAGTGCACTTTTCCAGCACTATGAAGCGCAAAATGTATACTCCTAATATAAACACCCACAGTAGACAAGCCCCAGCATGTAGCTAGGATCGTGCCTCAACTTGAAGCACGACAGGCACCACCAACAGATGGGCAAACATGCACTGCAGGAAAGCGCACATCTGGATTATGTAAATGGTCTATTACCCGCACTAACTTAATGCAAAATTTTCATATTAGCTGGTACTTGTGAACTGTGTGCTCATGGCTTAAAAGAGAATTGGTGATGCTGTCATTGACCAAGTCGAAGTGAAAAACCTAGGCCAGGCAGTGTCACTGAGCACCGCTCGCCACTGGCAGTCAAATGCACCGTGTACTTGCAATCACAAGAGCTTTCATCTTTTTCAATTTAGGACACGATTTGTTTCGTCAGTAATAGTTTTGGGCATCGATTCCTTCACTAGTTTGACTTCAAAACTTGTTGAGCTGCTTTTGTTCATATACTGCAAAACAGTGTTGCCCATTCCTGTCTTTCGTTCCTTTCACCCTGCATTTCATTGTTACCATTTTGCATAATTTGACCTTTCAGAGATGATGTGCACAACCTGCCTCCTGGCAGAGTAACTACCCCGTAAAGGCAGTGGTGTGGCAGTCCATTTGGGGATTGAAACGAATTTTGCATCGCTCGTGAAGCCTTCCCTTCAAAAAAAAAAATGCACAGATTTTTTTTTGTGTGTGTGCAAGCTAGTTCACGCCAACTTTTCCGTTTGCACAAGTATTCGACAGCTTTCCAGGTTTCTGCGGAACCGGACTAGGGGTGCTCAAATGGTTACGCTCACCTGATGTAATGCCACATCCGTCGTCCACACGTGGTCATCGGCATCAACGTGAATGCTGTGCGGCATGTAGAACCTGCGTGCATCATTAAACAAATGGCATTTTCAAAAGTGGTGTGTAAACGGAACCTACGATATTGAGTACCAGCAGTGCAGTACTAGTTAAGTGACATGGACGATCACAGGTTGCGCTCAAGTGCAGTCGGCTTACAATTAAATAGAAAAAGAAATAACCGATCCCATGGCCCGTTGTGCATAATAAAAGTGAAATACAACATGCAATTGGTTTGGTTTCTATGCACAGAATAATAATTAGTAAATGCTTTAGCACCTACACTGGCAACAGTGTGCTAAAGCACACCATTACAAATTCAGATGAATCTAGATGCGAGACAACTCACTATAGCGCTGTTTCAGAACTTTTCACACTATACTTGACTAGCATGAATGATTAATTAATCTATTCAGAAGCGGCTATATAGCATTCAAGAGTATTAAACATACAAAAAACAAAAGATATAAAAAAATAATCACTAACTACCAAATTTATATTGGCAATTCTAGGCGGGAGCATCCCTACCACAATCCTTAGCAGCACATAAAGAATGCATCAGTGGTGCAGTGCAGACAATTGACAGGACTACACGAGAAAGTGTATAGAACAAGCTCTATTATAGTATGGACGTGTGTTGTGTTATGAAAAGGGCATACCTATATATTGAACATTTGTAGAGGGTGTGAAAACTTCGCTGGTCACGGGAGAGGCCTTTGCCCTGCAGTGGGCCTAGTCAGGCTGATGATGACAGCGATAAACTTGGTGAGTTCAGGATTCCCTTCATACATCTTCCAAGTGTGCATGTGTAATGCTTTCAAAGATATAGCCTTCTCAAAATGAATTAACAATTCATGCTAGCTCCAACTTTGAGCCCACAGTGCCCAAAGGGAACAAAAATAGCGGCAGAGTGAAGTGCTCACATGTTCTGGCCCCAGTGATGAATCAGGGCACCGGACTGTGGGTCCACCACACAAATGGTTGGTTCCTTGATGACTGCGTTCTGGTGTCGATAAACATGGCCAGCTGTGAATGACCTGGGTGCGTGCATGATAGGTAGATAAAGAACAAACAGCTTTTGTAGATGATTGTAGCAAAACTCCAGGTGATTCCAATGTTGTTAAATAGTGCCGTGCCAAGAGCTCACATAATGATGATTACATCAATGCCAATGAGATCAGTGTAACACATATTACTTCCTCGCTTGAGTGTTCCCTGGCCTGGAGTATACCAAACTAAGTACCATTTCCCCATCTGTCGTGCAACAGTGACCTAGTTTTCGGTTAACTTCCAGCTGGGACAGTCTTAAGTTATTAACGCTCCAACAACTGCACAAGAAATAACTGAAATAGAAAAGTTCCATTTTCACAATTCTTGGTTCGAGAGAACATTCAGATTATATGTACATATATATATATATATATATATATATATATATATATATATATATATATATATATATATATATATATATATATATATATATATATATATATATTACTGATAAAGTGCAATAAGGCAGGCTCAACTATGCTCAACGAAATGTGAAAAACACAAAAGCAGAGCTAAGACAAAACAAAAAGTAGAGCTGACCTGTGGGAAAAGAGATGTTGTTACTGTATTATTAGTGGCTAAATTATCATATTAGTTGCATAAAAATTGCTCTTACTTTTCTGTATCAATTCTTCATTGTGCCATTACTCTCTGGTTGGCATCACATCAAAAGGGTATGGGACTGAGCTTAATGCCAAATAGAGCAAATAAACACAATGTTTTGCAGTTACAAAGTATAACTTTTGCTTGCGTATATATGGTGTGCATCACTCCCACCCATGTATATCACTATGAGAAAATTGATAGCATTTTAAAATAAACAAACACACCACAAGAGCACCTAAGTTTTATTTATTTATTTACTTGACCATACTGCCAACTCCTGGTTTTCCAATAACTGTCAACGCTACTGCATTGAAAACAAGTCATGGTTTTGGTGGCCGAGCTCACGTTTCGTCCCAGACGACTGGGCCCCGGTGAAAGACGTACAGCTGGCCCCGGCTGTTGACAGCAACGCCGGCCACTTGGCCCAGCATGCTCTTGTTGGCAATCTCCCATCTCGTATCCTCCCATGGCAACAGGTTTTGCTGCAATAATAATAATAATTATTGAGGGTTTAACGTCCCAAAACCACCATATCATTATGAGAGGTGCTGTAGTAAAGGGCTTTGGAAATTTCGACCATCTAGGGTTCTTTAACGTGCACCCAAACCTAAGCACACAGGCCTACAGTATTTTCACCTCCATCGAAAATGTGGCTGCCACGGCCGAGATTCGATCCCACGACTTGCGAGTCAGCATTTGAGTACCTTAGCCACTAGATGACTGTAACAGGCAGGTTGTGGTGCAACAGTTTTCAACAATGAAAAAGGCACCACTCGTAACATGTTTCTGCAGTAAACACTACGATATTGGATGAACTAGGCTCATAAAAAGCGAGTTCTAAGCGAATAGTGATTTTGGTCGAATAATTTTGAATCGTATTCGAGTATTATATATCACATATCATGAAGATTGGCATATTTGTCATGACCCAACTAATCTGCAAAATATTTTCAAAACAAGGAAAACAAGGCTTGTGCAAATGCTACTTTTTTTGGTTCAAAGGAAGTAAAAACAACTTTGAATAGTAGCAAGATTTAATTCCGATAGAAGTAAGTGATAACTTGAAAAAATAATACTTTTTAATATTTACTACACCTAAAGCATATAAGCCGATAAAACAAGCTTTAAAACTTAACATATGATGAATCGATGTGGGGGTAATATATTCGTTTAACATTAAAGTGGGGCTTAGTGACAGTGCAGATTTCCCCGAATTAAGTGTTTTCATGGCTTATCACATCTTTACTGCAGCAAAACCGCCTTTATGAAAAGTTATTTAGATAGGTGCTTTTGTAGCTTTGCATTTGTTTACTGCAGTAAAAACACCTTTACGGTGGGTTACATGACTACCAATTACACCTGCAACATAATGCATGCAGCTATTTATTCGAAATTTTCAATCAAAGCGAATTGGAATACAGCAATATTTGAAACATTCGAATGTTCGCACAAGCCTAGGATGGACCTATCCTACTGCAGAAGTACTGAACTCTTTGAGGCACTTTGTGGACACCTGAATGAGGAAGATGCGGTAAGCGTTGGAAGAATTAAACCTCCTGCTTAATAATGTCTCTTCATTAAACCTGATTTTGTAGTGTACGGTTGCAAATGATCACTTTGTTGCAGGCACTACCATGTACAACGAGTTGTACGACAGGCCTCTTTAGCAAGCCCACTTCAAAAGCAAAATTTTTCTTTGCTTGAAATGAATACAACTGAAAATAAAATGTTATCGTATTTGGAGACTGAGATGTGATTCTATTGATGCATGAGTAGGACATGAATTATTTCAGGATAAATAGGTTTAGTGTAATTTCATAAATCTACTATAAACAACATGAATGAATAAACCTATTGTGATATCATTTTTATTGAAACAGACAATCAATTACTTTGCAATAATGTTCCAAAAACTTGAGTTTTTTACAGTTCTTCTTAAGTTGTGCCTGCAAGGAATAAAAAAAACAGAAAAAAGGGTCTTAATGATTACAAATTCAAACCAAAATATGACTAGGGCAGGAGAAAGTTGATTGTACAAAGATGAGGTGTTCTGGATACTACATTATCACCGAAAGGGCTGATATGATGAGTAATGACAATTACAGGACAAAGAAGAATAGAATATATGGCGAGTACAACAAATGAATTACTCCTAATCATTTTACGAATAATCATTCAATTCAATTTTATTTCACATCATGGATGAGGGCAGGTTCGGGAGAAAAGTGGCATTTGCCACTTGAGGAGGACCTGAATCTCCCTAATACATGGCAAGCAATGAAGACATAGATTGTGAGTAAAGAAACGAAGAGCATGAAAAAAAAAAGAGCACGGTACAAGTGGAGATATGTAGGTACACATACTACACACAAATGACAAATATACATGAACAGTTTCTAGCTATGTATATTTCATAAAACTATGCAAAATATAACATAACACAAGTATTTTATATACACGAACAACAATTTTCTGCATACATAAAAAACAGTATAAAAATTGAACAAACCTCATTCTCTTGACTGTCACAATAAAATTGTTTCTATTGTGACATGTACACTGCATTTTTCAATGATTATTTTTTGAAGTAGTTTATTAAGTAACTGTGGATTATTGAAGCACAGCATCCGTCGCCCAAAACTTGTTCAACACAACGAAATGTTCCAGTGTTGTAGATGACGAGTAGGGTAAGGAGTAGTGTATGTTTCCAGTACAAAGATGTTTAAGAAGGCACGGTTGTTTTGAAAAACAGATTGCTTGTATCTGTTTGCTGGCGAACAGTCATAACGTGTGTGAATTTGGACAATATTAAAGCGCTTGAAAAGCTCATCAGCGTGTGCATAGTAGTCGATGTATGCTATATAATAGCTTTCTTTTGTAGCTTGTATATTTTATTTGTGTTTGTTGCTGTTGAACTTGCCCATACCAAAAGAGAATAATTTACATGTAACAAAAACAGGCTGTTATAAAGTGCTAACTCCACCGAAACCGGGAAAAAAAATTACGCATTCTGGCAAGTGTACCGACACTTTTGGACAGATTAGCAATCAGATTGTTAATATGAGGATCCCATGACTTTGTGCAATTGAAAAATACTTCTAAAGTTGTAATGGTCTCCACAGCTTTAATAGCTGTTGTACCTATTTGTAGTCTGTTGTCCGAAGAATTGTTCCGCTCATAAGTAGTGAATTTTGCCCACTCCATGCGTAAGCTTTTTAATGTATCATTTATAAGTGACGTCATCCCGTTCATATCATTACCTGTGAAAAAAAGGCTTGTGTCATCCACATACATTATGTATTGAGGTTTATCACTGATTTTCACAATGTCATTGACATAAATGTTAAAAGCAGCGGCCCCAAAACGCTACCTTGCAGAACCCCTGTGGTGATAGCCTGTAGAGAAGATAACAAATCATTAATTTTTACATGTTGCAAACAATATGTTGCAATCACTTGTACATCTTTCTCATCTGTATATATCATTGTCGGTGCAATGCAGCCCAATCTCAACAAGAATAAAACAAAACTTCGTAAGTGGTGGAGCTGCATGGTATCACATGAGGCACAACATATGTTTACAAATGTGCAAGAGGATTTGAGTGCTGAGGACTACATGATGATAACAAAAAAAGAACACATACTGATGAAGGCAATTAGAAAGCTGGCAGACGGTAACATAGATATGAATTAATAAATAACTAAGCAGGAGAAAACACCTTATCAATATTATTCAGAAGAGTGACTTAATGGTCTTATTCAAACTTTTCAGTAAGTGGCTTTCTTGAGACGCTTGTGTTGCATAAGATGGGGCACATGATTGGGAAATATTTTTGAACCTCATCCATAAGCGGATCTGCAATTTTTAAATTTTTTACATTAAACATGTATACATCACTATAACAAATAGTTGTTCCACTAGATTGAAAGATGCACAATTTTTGTGGACTTTTTGTTTCCTATAGAAGGAAATGATAATATAAGCTTCCAAGATTTCAGAGAGAGCCACAAGCTCGGGTAAATGAAGAACCAGAAGCCAATATATAATGGATGTCGTGATGCTAAAATGATATCGCTAAATGTGTGCATGATTAATCATATCCTGTAAGAATTGACATGAAGTGTCGTAGAAACAAAGGTAACAGCGCTTCCCTTTGTAATGAAGAAAAAGGTTCACATATTACATAGTATGTACGTACCAGCCTGTTATAATTACGATACTATACATATATATTATACATGTGCCATATTTTGTTTATATGGAATTCTTCATAAACTGCCACACAGCAGAAAGCAATGGGTGCATTGCTAGTGTACTCAAAGTCAAGAGGTATCTGCTGTGGGTTTGCAGACTTAATGTACACCTTTAGGAGAACTTGCAATGGGTGCTCTGTTTCCCCTTGCTTTCTGTGTGTCCCTTTCCACAAGTACAGGGTAGTAAAGTGCACAACATGTGTCTCGATGATATACCCCTATATTTTTGTGCTCCCCTCTCCCTCTGCCAGAACAATTGACATATCTCAATCTATTATTCAGCTCTACTACACTTATTCCTGACTCTTTAGATGCAAGAAGAGTGGCGAAACGATATTTTCAGTGGATATACGATTCATCGGTACAAGAAGGGTCTATGCCTGTAGCTGCAATAAAAAAAAAAACAAGCTTCATTTTTATGGTGATTAGTGTACAAATATTGCTTGAACGATATCAACATACGCAAATTTTGTATACACTCTACATGTAACTGAGTAGCACACCAAACAAACAGTTTAAGTTCCTTAAGTTCCTTGACATCTATTTATTTCAAACAATGTAAATATGTGACAGTGATCCCGCTGCTACAACGGCGCTTATGTTTCTGGGCCAATAGCCACATGACAGTTGTAAATATGTGTAACAGTAACATAGTCGGCTGCTTATTCCACATCACACAGAAGCCTTGCAGTGAAGTATAAGCAAAACGCAAATTTCATTGTTATTGGAGAGACCTGCCTAAGAAAACACAGCCAGCACCATGAAATGAAATCAACAGCTGTCATCTCTCGGCTGCCATAACATGGCTCTAACTTAGTTGTCGTATGAACCCTGTACCTATAGATCACCATGGCTGATGCCCGGCTCACGCGCAAGTGGGGTCGATCCATATGTTAAGGCTTCATCTTCGCGCAAACAATCGGTAGAAGTTGGTTTACTCAGAAATAAACAAGTCATGTTACTTTTGTTTGCCCTCCAACATACGGATTAAAGGCAGCATTTAAATGACGCATCTAAGCAATATATACCTGCAGCACGCGCGCGCGATGGGGCGCAGCTGCCTCCATGGATCTGATAAACCACACAAATGTGGCCGACATCAAGCAGCCAAGTACAAATAAATAATGATTCTGAGCTGCGTCGACGTCACTGTAATGAGTAAACCACGTTCTCAACATGACCCGCTTGTCTTGCGTTCGCTATCACGAGGATCCACGAAATGAAAATTCTCAAGTTTCGAATCGAATTCCGAAATAAGGATCGATGGATATATCTGATGTCCGTACTTGCCATTCAGCTGGCTTTGTGGTGCAAGGCTCTGTAAAGAATGCGTTAGACCACACGAGTCACTGTTTCGGGATGTTGGGACCGAGAAGGCGCGCGGAATGCGATATATGGAACACGAGCTCAAAAGTAGGAGGAAGCACACAAGACGAGCACTGAAAAACAACATTTCTGCGAAGAACCTTTTTGTAACTGTACTCATACGCATTTATATATACTACGCGCTCTACAGCTCACCTGTCTGTGAGAGGGGGGAACGCGCCAGCCGGCGGCACCAGCGATCAACAGGCAAGCGACGGCTGTCAACGAGTACGCCATGTCGACGGCTCTGACGGCCAACTGCCTCCACTGAAATCGGTCACGGGCTTGTCAAAGACATTCTCGTGCCACTTTAATGAGTGCGAACTCGCGCGACAGATGCTTGACAGCCACAGCCGCTGCTGATGAATGGCGTTTATTGCGGATGAACGTCACGTGACAACGCTAAACGACGACGTCACACAACACTTACCACTAAACAACGACGTCAATTTAGCGCGCTCTGATGCTCTCTCTTCTCAAGGTATAGTAGGCAAGCTTGAGTGAATGCGTCACGGTTGGTGGCCTTGTGCATTCGCCCGTCACTCTGGAGAGCGTGGCGCTGCAATCGGCATAAAATCGGGATGCAGGGGCTCCGGTCGTACATCTGATGTGTAATAGTTCCCGTTAAAGACGAAGTAAGTGCTACTCAGACATAAATGCAGAAAATGTCAGAGCTTCATCTTTCAAAGGAGTTCTTGAAGGAAGGGACGTATCTTTCTGGAGCACTTGCCTGTAACATCCCACGGCAAAGTCTACAAGTACTGACGTGCACATTGATTCACGTCAAATGAAACCAACCGGTCTTCCTCGTCCAATGAAATCTCTTGCTGAATTTCAGCAAAATGTTCCGAATTCCCGAATATACTAGGAAGTATGTTTGACGATAAGGTACCAACGTTACACCCGATGCAGAGAGTTTCAGAGCTTGTGAAGCGGGTATCGCGTAAAGTCAACAATTAGCCGTAAGTGTGTGTTGGGCTTGTGTACCTTTAGGGAGAGCCGTTTGTTGCACCAGAGATGAAAATATACAGCATCTTTCCGGGAGGAACAAACTTGAAACTTTAGTAAGCACCTTTTCAAGCTCGGACTGTGCCTAATTCTTTGTCGGGTGACTCGGGTCCTCGTTCAACTTGGTGTGGGTAGTCACATATTAAAGCAGAGTTGACATTTTTTTTTTGTTTGTAGTCATCCTTGTCCAGTACAACCGTAGTGTTTCCTTTATCCGCAGGCAGGATAACAATATTTTCGTTTCATTGTAGACGTTTCAATACAAGTTTTTCGTGCTGCGCATTGTTCGCAATTTTCACTCGCTAAAATTTCGACAGCGGGCCAATCGCCCAAGTCCTCGCTTCATCGTGAAGGTAGGGCTCGAGTTGGAGGATAGCTTGCTCCACAGCGCAAGTCATCTTTTTCGTGTTCGGAACAACGCCCAGGTTGAAGTCCAAGCCCCGATACAGGATGGACAGTTCCACCGGCTCCATGTTGTACGATGAAAGGTTGACGACACTCGAAGTGTGAGTAACACGGAGGAAATCACTCTTCTCGGGTGGCCTATGGTCCCATAGGTGGCCTTGCCATGACTGGGGTCGTCTCTGTAGCTTTCCGCTTTAACTTTGGCATCAGCGATTCACTGGCTGGCTTCTCAGACAGGTCAGAAGGTGCCGCTGACACAACCGAGGAAGCGGAGTCGAGCTACGGTCCTTAGAATATTCTAGGAACAGTGGTTGGGCAGAGCAGTCACCGCTGTGGTGGCAGGCGTATCTTTCTCTGCACCTTGACCTAGCGTCGCAGGTTTAGCTCTCTGGTCTCCCAATGCAAAACTTAGCAGCCGGGGTCTTGTCTGAGGACATGTCGCAGAGATCGTTTGCAGGAACGCTGGAGGACTCGTCTCTTTTCTCAATATGACGATTCTGCTTTTGCTCTGGGTGGACGAGCTGAAGTTGGGAATGCTTGACTGTTGAACATGACGGGAACATCTCCGACTTCAGAATCCGGAGGAATGAAGAGCGGTGTAATCAGGCGACACCCGTCGGGCACTCTGTTTCTGTATGCTAGTCGGTGGGGCCCTTGATGTGTGACATCGGGCGGCTGCTGTTGCTGTTGGAGTTGATGGGTAGCCCCACCAAGTTTGCTGCACTCGTAGGCGCATTGCTCGTAGCTGTAGCTGGGCTCCCGAAGGCGTGACGCTATTGACTTCTTTGGTTAGGGTTGCAGCCACCATCCTCTGCTGCTGCTGCGCTTTCGAGTATTGCTCCTGGGCCTTCCACACTTCGGGGTCTTCAACCAGGGTGGTGCCAGACTGCCGCTGCTGGCTTCGAAAACCCGACAAGCTTTTTCCATACAATTTCTGGCGCCACACGTTGGCGTTTTTGCTGGCGTTTCCTTCTTTAGCATCAGTCGACGTCGATGATACCGGTGACGGTAGCGAAAAGTATGGTATATGCCTGTTAATCTCCGAAATGGCTGCAAGTATTCTCATGAAATTTTACGTGGTCACGAAAAATGCCGCATGGTATGAAGTGACATTCTTTTTTTATGCTTAGGTTCACTATCCTTACTATGGCGCACTCCCAAATTTTAAGGGTGGCTCACTTATTCACTGTACTTTTTCTCTGCAACTACCGAGATAAATGTAACCATATTCAGCCGTGTTATTGTAGAGACTTGTAGGTTACATCTGCTCTAAAAAACTATAACACTTTTATAAAGTTTTTGTAAAAAAATAAAAACGCTGCTTGCACAACGCCACGGAGGGGGCGTATTGATGTGTAATTTTTTTACAGCTACACTTTTTATAAAATCAGCATTTTTTTTAGTTCAGATTGTTTCTAATTTGTTGTAGCTCACGCATACAAAGTTTCATCAAAACCAATTTACTACTTTTTGAAAAAAGTTGCATTGAAGTTGACAAATTTATAAGAAACAAGGCTTCCGCAGGTTTGCTCCTTAGAGTACAGTGTATTCTTTGGTGCCAAAACTGCAATTTCGATTACCCTGACACACCCCCTTAACAGAAGAGAAAACTTGGCGTCTTGACTAGCACACTTTTCTTCCCGTTTCTTTGCTTATACTGGCAGTTTGCATGATGTACAACGTCTGTAGAGTCTATATAGGAAGAAAGAAAGCTTTCCAATTACCGCTCAGCGAAAATTATCTCCTTTTCGATTATCTTAAATGCTTTCGTTTCCGGGATACGATCCCGAAAAAGCTGTTTTTCTGCTTTTGCTACAACTTATTTACCAGAAGTGGTCTTTACGAAAATTGGCAGCTTCAATGACTTCGGGATGATATTTGTGAAACAAAGGTTGAAGTGCAGATAACAAAAAAAAATGAAGAAAGGAGTGATTTTGAGCTTACGAATCGTAACATCGGCGGGATGGCGGCAGGCGCATATTCTTCGTGTGCAGCAATATAGTCCAAGGTGACGGTCCACCGTCTGGAGAAGGCCAGTAATGTTTTGCAAATAAACGGACGCTCGTCAAGTTTCAACTAAAAATGATGAACGACGTTTCGATACCCCTAAGGGTTTCTTCTTCACATACAAGTGAAAAACTGTGAGCAGTGCCCGTGAACGTATATGGTACAATGATCTGGTGCAAGTCGGGTAGATTTCCGCGTGTCCTAATAATTGTATGGTGCGTCGACTGGATTATTAATGATTAATTCACAAAAAAGTGAAGTAATAATTCCCAGAGAAGTGATTTTTTCGTGTCGATAACAGTCGTAGAATTCCAATCAATGTTGTAGCCTGTGTTAAGATGATGTTCAGCTAGTGCGTTGACTGTGGTATGTCCCTTAGCTACGTCATTTCGGTTCTGCTTGATACGTACTCGTTTGCTGTGCAGCAGTCCCATGACAGGGTATCTTATACATCACTCCAGGATGGCGTTTCCGTTCGAACGGGTCCTTAACGTGGACCAGCTGACTTCTGAACTTGTGTGAGGGCACGTGCGCTACTTGTAGATGATAGCTCTTGAAAATTCTTGCGAGAGTTTCGCTTGCATCGGGAGCATAAGAAATCGGTTCAGTTTTTTTTAAGTACGTTGATGTTTTTCTGGGAGCGGCGTTCCTGCTGACGTGTAGTTGGCGAGGGTAGCCGTTGTTTTAAAGTCCTGATTTACTTTAGCGCATTCTGACCTTCGCGCTGAGTCGTCTGAGTGAAGCCGTAGGAGAGAACGCTTGAAGAGGGAAGCAGCCATAGAGCGTTCGTGGTCAATGAGATACAGCTAGGTTATACTGAGATACTTCCTTTTCTGTATTAACAGGAAAGGAAGTATCGTTGAATGATTATCACTCCATTGAAGCCAACCGCGAAGCCGACGTTCTTCCTGAGGTAGTGGATAGTGAATTCTCTAAGGTAGTAAATAAAACGTGCCTAAATATAGTCTCTTGTGAAACTGTGTTCCTTGGGACCATATTGGTGAGAACTAATATTGCGTCTAACAAAAAAAAAAGTCCTAAACTTTACAATTCTTTCCGTCTTTATTAGGCGTCTGATACGCACAGCTATCCAAGAACCTCCATGGGACGCTTACGACAAGTATGAAGTTCAGCTGAAAAGACCAGGGGCACTAATGCGTGCTGTTTTGGTTGAGTGTGAAAATAAGAGCTTATTAGAGAAGATATAAGCAAAGAGCAAATATTTCTTGATCGCGCTGAAACGATGTCACGAATTTCATTGATGTCAGCGAATTACAAGACGTGCACCACGATGAATGACCACATGTGCGAAAGGCCACTGCATAGCCGCGGCTTTCGCGATTGCCACGATGGATGTGGTGTACATGCATATACTGAACCTCGCTGCGACGGTGACGCCATGGAAGCAAGATTGCACTTGAGTGAGTCTGAAATTGTTTTCCGTGCTCTTGCAGCTCTGCCTGCGTACGTACGACTGGCAGCAACCGATGGAAAGTGAAGCCTTGATGTCAATATCCTCACGTGCGATACTTTTTTGTGTTTTTTACGTGACGCAAGCCCCACCGCAATATCTCGAATTGAACTATAGAATACGCGCATGCCTGTAACAAACAGTCCTGTGCAGCTGCCATCTGCTAGGCTCCTACGCTATTCGAAAACTGGACACCATGGAGAACGCCCGGAACAGGCGCTTCGCCAAAGGTCATATCATGCTGAATTCACCGGTTCTCGCACAGAACAGGCACATTTAGGTTAAAAAGAATTGGCGGCTGTACATCACAGTCACCCTCACCTTCTCGTGTTTGACACCAAAAGACATGCTTCTAAATGAATCAGATGAATTAGGATAAATAGTCTAATATTACGACGCCATGCGTCCCATGATGCTCTAGATTTGTTTCCTGGTTTTTACGAGTAAAGATTGATTCACAAAATCATGGGCCTTCAGCAGCCATTACTTCAAGAAAACCTG